CCCTGTCTTGGATTATAGCAGGCCATTATTTTTTCATTAGAAACATCGTCTAAACCGTCTTTCAGAATGTATCACCCAAAAACGACTGAATGGCACCGTGTTCAATGATTTTGTTGTCACACGATATAAAAGACTGATAAAGACTGTACCCAATTGGCTTTGAGAAGGATAATTTTCCGACGTTTCAGAAAATGATTATTTTCCGAAGTAAGTATAGATATTTTCATTTTTTCCATTGATTATTCAGGTTGTAGGTAAAATTTATGAATACTACAAGATACTGACTAATTGGTTTTCATAACAAAGTAACTTTTCGGGGTGAGCTCTTTAGTTTGTCCTTTATTAACTTCAGCAGATTCTCTATTGAGTTAGATTTGAACATTTTTCAGATTGTTTTGAATTATACACCAAAAAAATCGTCCAAAGAACATTTGAGACCATGATGTTTTCTACCACAGCCCCAGACTGCCTTTGACCAAGTAAATATGTTTATTCAAATTTGTACTTCAACCTGAAGAATATTCTGCAAAAACTTACTTCTGTAATGTGATATATGCAAAAAAATGGAAGTCTCGTAACATGAATCTGATTGACGGGTGTCTCTAATTTCATTAAAATCCATAGTAAATAGAGAAGTGTAGGTATGGTCTCTTTCATGAAGAGGAGAATACTAAGTTGCACCTTCGATTACACCCAAAAATGGCTGAAAAATGTAAAGACTAATTATTATTTTTGGTGTTTTTGAGTTAGGGTTTTCATTTCTTTCTTCCGTTTCTATTACCGTATATTATTGAACTAAGGTTACTTAGTTGAATGTAGGTAATTGATTATCAATAATCTAGAGGCAGAATACTAAGTTGCACCTTTGATTACACCCAAAAATGGCTGAAAAATGTAAAGACTAATTATTATTTTTGGTGTTTTTGAGTTAGTGTTTTCATTTCTTTCTTCCGTTTATATTACCTTATATTATTGAACTTAGATTACTTAGTTGAATGTTATACCTAACATGGTAGGTATTATCAATAATCTAGAGGCAGTAAGGTCCCTGAAAAGGTATAAGACCATAATAAAGACCCAAGAGACGATTTTACTCACAAGTCAAACATATGTAACAAAACCAACTAATATACGTTTTGAATTGAATGAAACATAACCATATACATTTTTTTGTGTGCAATCAAGTCCTAATTTACTCGTACTCAACTCATTCTATTAATAAAACCCCTCCCCCTTCCCTGACTTGGCATATCACTCCTAACTTGTACATTGTGCCGGGGGTAGACCGTCCTCAATCCGGCCCTGCGTCGATTCCGCTGCGAGAGACAGAGACAGAGCGTTGGCACCACGTGAATACATATCGGAAACGCCATTTATAAGGCAGGATGACTTCCATCTGGTCACATCCTCATTCGGAGTCTAAAGGAATTTTCAACCGACAAAAAAAAACTCATAGGTCGACCACGTTTCTGTTCTAGAGAGCAGCGCGTTTCCGCCGATCGCTTCATTGAGTACGGTTATGTTTCTGGTTATTTTCTTTTAGATTCTAGATCGGCACATATTAGTGTCCGTTCAGGTATACATACTGGGTGTTCAGATGTTGGGTATGAGCAGTGGGCATTTACTGTTTGAACTGGCATTTTTTATAAATTTTCAGAACAGATTTTTAACCATATACAAGGTGGTCCAATCGGAGACGTGCAAAAATCCTATCAGAATCACCTCTATGTATGTTATGCAATTTTTTCTAGTTTTAGAGTTATTAATTTTTCATTGTTCCTGTGAGAATTTTCGCCGGATTGGCTTTAACATTTTTTTATTATTTTTTCGAGAGTTTTCATCGGTATTTTTTCATTACATGATCTTCATGCATTCTGATTTTATACATAAACTAATTAGCTTCCTAAAATTACAATGAAGATTAAAAAATCCACTTTTGAACAAGGCGAACTTAAATTTTCAACTTCCTATTCGTTAAAAATATTCTATGACTCCTAGTTAACATAAACACATCGCAAAACCAATATTTGCAAAAAAAAACAATCAAAATTGGAAGGTGTATATTTCAAGGAGACATTAGTTTTTGTATAAAAGTAGTTACTCATGGCCCCAACTCACAACTCAAACATATATAACAAAACAAAACAATATACGTTTTAAATTGAATCAAACATAATCATATTAAATTGTTTTTTGTGAAATCAAGTCCCAATTTACTCGTACTCATCTATTAATATAACCCCCCTTCTCAAAATTTTTGTCAGACTTGGCATGTCACTCCCAACTTGTATATTGTGTCGGGCGTAGACCGTCCTCAATCCGGCCCAGTCTGTTTTGCCAAATCGCCATGGATGGATATAGCATTCAACAACACGTGCAGATAATGAAATGGGTGTTGTGTCGGGCAACGTACCGCGCGCTTCACCCATTTTAGGGTAGACATAATGGTCTTATCGAGAGGACTAATATTATCCAATGTGGTGGATGAATTTGAATCCACTGGTTTAGTAAACGATCGACCAACACCCGTACTTCGACGAAACGCAATATCTGCCGAAAACATCGCCGCTGTCTGTGAGAGTGTGCAGGTGAATTCGAGGCAGTCGATTTCGTGTCGCTCAAAGAAACTCAGCTTTTCGCAAACTACAACTTGGCGAATTAGGCCTGCAGCTGTACAAAATTCAACTGACCCAGGAACTAAGGTGAACTACCATAGACAACGATGTGTGTTCGCTAAATGGGCTCTAGAACAGTTGTCAGCTGATCCTAATTTCCATTAAAAAATCCTTTTTAGCGATGAGGACCAATCCACATGATATCCATGAGCGTCAAATGCATCTCGAAAAAGTCACTGTTAGGTGTGGATTTTGGGCTACCAGCGTCATCGCTCCATATTTCTTTGAGAACGACGTTGGTCATATCACGTCCAACCTGTATGTATGTTAATTTCCAGGTTTTGGACCGTATTTGAAGGGGAGGTTAAGTATGGCAGGTAATGTATCTGCTCTGGTACGGCCGTGGGTACTAAAGATTTTAACACACTTATTACAATTTTGATGAAATAGTTTGTGCGCCAAGTGGTTTTTGAAGCCCTTGCTGTTAAAAAAAACACTAAAATTAACTACTCAGCAGTCCCTAGCCCAACAAAAATGAATTGTTAAGGGATTAAATATATATTACTATATGAAAACGATATAGACAACTTAATACATTTATACTGGGTTCTACCTTATATAATTGGGGGCTCTTGCAAGAGTACAAAAAAACCATAGAGGTTATACGTATCACTTCACTAAAAAAGAAATATTGGCCCTATTGACATCTCAACAATAGTATCATAACTATCACTATAATTATTAATTATGACTATCATAACTATTCAACCTTTCTCACAAAATCCCCGCGGATCCCGTTACGAATTTTCCGGTGTTTTTTTTCCACCGCGCCAAGTGTATTCGTTCGAATTATTTCTGTGTGGAGCCACATACGGGGCGATATTAAGTAGTAAAACGTTGAGTACCCGTGACTAAGAAAATATCGTTACAGTCAGACCATCACTGTCAACGGCGAGCGCTATAGGTCGATGATTATCAAGTTTTTTTAGCCTCAATTGGATGATCTGCACACCAACGACATGTGGTATAGAAAAGACGGCGCTACGTGCCACTAGGTCGATGATTATCAACTTTTTTGTTTCATTATACGAAACGTCTCCAAATTTCGAAAGAAACTTTCAGTTCATTGAGAAAATATCTGGAGACAACTACTCCATGCCCTGTCCCCAGTTAGATTCAAAGAGTAATATTCAAACATGAAATTGTGTAATGGAGAAGCTCCTTTATCTTTTTTTTTCGAGGATTAACTCGTTTTCTGTGGCAAACGGACACTTCCAATGCTAACTTCCTTTTTCTCAACCTCAGGATTGAGTCTTCTGTTTATCAGGCTTGCCCTTTTTAGGACAGTTGAGTGATTCAGCCAAGCACTGCTGATGAGACCTATGGAGGATCGAAACAGCGCTGTCTTGTTTTGGATCACATGTGCATCTAGTTGCCTTGCAGTGGAAGCGGACACATCTCGTTCTGTGACCGATTTCGAAGCTTGGCTGCAACTAACCGCCTTGGAGAGCCTTGTTTATCTTTAATACTTATGATCTCACTCAGAATTCGTTTATCTACACTCCGATTTTTGCTTCCCTTGATCTAACATCAATGATCGTATCGGATCTGGAGTACGTATCATAAGGCTCACTACGATCCTAAATTTTCCTACGTATTTGTGATGAAATGGAGTAATAGTGTAATATATTGCCGTTATTCAAACTCTCTCGTTACAAATAATAACATTAAGTGAGACAAAAGACAGTAAAACACAGAAAATAAATTTTCATTCTCAGTTGGACTTCTGTAATCCACGAAACTTTCTCAACTCTAGGATTTATGAAAACAATTTTTTTATCTATATAGGTTTTGCAAAATAACATGTTGCATCTGATAACTGCATGCACTTGCTAGTAGAAACGAGTAGATCACTTAAAAATAGAATCGATAATGATAGCTAGATCTTTCAGAGCTAGAAGGATAGGAAGTGAGATGAAATAAGATGGGTGTAAATTACTTGTATCGACTTACTCGTTTATAACAATAGCCCATTTCTGGATGGAAAAATACACCAGGAAAATCAACAGTTAAGTGGTTTGCCCCAAAGAGGTTTCACACCAGAATCAAAATGATCGTGTCTGAGTGTACTGCACTTGGTGAACAGACTCCAAAGCATGCAAAAACGCAACAGTCGACTGGGAAGGTTATAGTATCAGTATTTTGGGATGCCCATGGTATATTTATCGACTATCTTGAAAAGGGAAAAACCATCAACAGCGACTATTACATACTATTATTGGAGCGTAAGTTCTCCCAGTTTGACTTGATTGAATTTTCATTTTTACAGTAACAAAAAATTGTTCTTGGGATCATATTGGAGACGATAGAAATGAAACAACGGTGTAAATTTGTTGATCTTTGTTATTAACATTAGAGAATAATATTACAGTTTCATATGTACATGTATACAATTGCTATATAGCTTTGCGCCATTTGGCACTCAGTGAGAGTACTTCCCTCCATCATACAGGGTGATCCAAAAAATGGCTAGGAATCAAAATAATTTGGAAACTGCCGAGGACAGTGAATTTTCCCGGACAAATGGAAGACAACCATGTTTTTCTAGATCACCCCGTATAAAACCCGATTCACAATGATAAAATTCAATTAAGAGTTTCGATTACAAATTGCATTTGATGCAGTATTTTCTAAATCGACATAACATGAAGTTTCATCATTGTAAAAAATGAAGCCTATTTTATGTAGAGTTCTGAAGGAATACCACCAGATTCGTCAAAAGTATAAAAATAAATTTGCAGACATGTCAGTATTATTTCGGAACTCTATTTTTCCGTACTTACAAAAAAGCGCAATCTAGCTGAGAAATAACATAATTTTATAAGTTTTTGATAAACAGTTACTTAAACATTTATATCGGGTTGCCCCTAAACATTTGTATTTTGGAATAAGTCGAAGACATCCCGTCAAAAAATGTAACGTCAACAAAATTACAACACCGATTATTACGAAATATACATATGCAAACTTACTATGTATCTCTTCAATTTCAATAACATGAAATACTCTTTTTTTACGCTGAATGCAACCACATTTTTGACGAGGCGCTCTGTATTTGACCTTGATACAAGAGGTTAGAGCATATTTGAAATAAATACGCTCACCTCGATTGTTATTTAAAAAGTGATAGCGAAATGTCGAAGATTCATAAAAAATTCAAGATCGATGTACGATAATTTATATAAATGTAAGTATGTTTAAATATTCCTTAGATTGCGTTTATGAAGGATCACATTGACTAGGCAAGTTTATCAGCATTTTCTTATCGCCAAGACCCACATGTAATTTCGAACAAGGCGAACAAAAATAGTTTTGAGATTTGTTTTCGATTCATACAGAGAGGTCGTTGTTTTCGAATGATTGGTCCGTTTCGTTAATAACTCAGAAGATAAAACCAACTATCAATTTTCGGTCTGTAACTGAATAAATACAGACTAGATAATAGTTCTTCATGAAATGAAAGCACAAAATGGCACACTGTTTCTTCATATAAAATATCCATATGAAAAAAAAAGAATCGAAAGTGCGACTCCAACGTGAGAGATCGCTATTTGAAGTTCCTTGTGGGACAATCATAACTAAAAGTCGGTGTAGTTAGCACAGAACCCGTCAATGTTCTCTAATTGGAAAAAGTTTCACATGACAGTGTGGTCAATATTACAGATGTGATATAGTATAATCATATAGTCATTTTGTGAAATTCTGAAATAATCAATATATAAATTAAATTACTGTAGGCCTAAGATTTATAGTAAGGTGTTCTAATATTGAACGCTCCATCATGTTGAGAACGAACCGGAAACCCTTGAAATCCCTAGGGATTGCAATTGATATCGAAATGAAACTATTCGAAAAGTTTTATGAAAGTCTTTAGTTTTGGAAAAACTGAATAATTATATTTTTGGAATTATTCTTCAAGCTGCTACCGTTGCGAAGTTCAAAGTGATCCTTTCCTACATTCATCTAATCGCATATATTTTTGTATTAAAATTGCGATACAGATATTTCGTATGTGTAAGTTTTGTAAGTTGTAGTATACGTAGATAAAGAGTACTAACATTTCTTTATTTGAAAAATGCTAACCAAAAGGTCTCTGGAATTATTTTTGTGTCATTACAGGGAAATGTATAGGTACGGCAAACCAATGCTTTCAAAAATACAGGAAATAAGAAGTCTTCAAAAATGAATTTTCCTCAGTCGCATTTCCTGTAGCCCATCTTTTAATATACTTCGACCAGTTCTGTCATAGAAAATTCAATCTGTACAAAAAGTTAAACAAAGAGCGAGATGAAAGTATAGAATGTTATGAAATAAATAAAAACGACCACCTTGATCATTACAATGTTTCTATCCTTTCTTACCCTGTATGTATATAAATAAAAAATAAATAATTTGCAAAAATAAATCAACAAATAATTCCAAAGACAACAGACAACACACATGAGCGTAACAAACATTCAGTCTCACTCATACTTTTAGTCACTTCAAGTCGGTCTGCTAAGACAGTGTTACGTGGTCGAAGACGAAAACACAAGAAAATTCAATTTTAAGAATTAAAAAATCTGCAAATGATTAGAAAACGTAGTACAAGTTCATTGCAATGATTCTTTGCAAATAAGCGATTAACAAACCTAATTCAAATATTTCTGTTCGATTTTATCGGTTAAACTTTTTTTGTAGGTCCGAATAGACCAACCAAAGTGACTGCTTACAGCTCTGGACTAGATAATACTGGTCACCGGTGCCCGTCACACTTTTTTTCTTCCATCCCTGTCCACATTTCCACCACTACCTTGGACCTAAGTGCTCAGAAAAGCCACAACTCGGTTGTCGTGTCCAAATGTACCAAAGTTATGTCCCTAAATTGTAGTGTTTGATAAATGTAATCAAAATTTTCCACCAGAATTTGTTTATCAACTAACCTCAGAATATCGGTATCTTTTTTTTTTGAAAAATTCGTAAATACATTTTTTGGGGTTAAGTTTAAATCTAGGAAATTGGTACTTCTCGGTTTCATAGGCTCCACTTCAATCATGAGACATAAACAATGGGATTTTTTTTGACGTATTCATCCTATAACCTTCAGAAGAAACAAAAACTAGTATCTTGGTTTTTTTTCTAGACAAATTTTTCAAATAAAGTAGCTTCAGCTACTCTATATGAATAGTTCTATATGAATATAGTGGTCTACCCTCTCCCCTAAAAAATATTTTTGTGGTATTATTTAACTATCACACACAGTTTTGAGTTGAATAAATGAAACAAGGCTCCAATATAGACTGTGAGCTTTTGATTTATTTTGTCGTTTTCATGAAAATATCGGAAATTTGTAATATTCATTTGAACAGTAGTTTTCTGAGTCACTTTAATCATATTTAATTGAAACATGGTGAAGGTATCATGGCAAAATCTATGATTCAAAATAACCTAGCAATGAATCTGGTTCTGAGTTTTTCACATAAATTATTCTAAGGAAGGAACATCCACCTTGCATCAATCAACATTTAAGTTTTCAGTTTGAATCTTCCAATCAACTTAGTTCAAAATAACTCCAAAAATGCCTTTAGAAATCAACTCAATATTCATATAATATAATAATTTGGTCATGTTGCTCGGGTGACTTTCATTACTTTTTGAGTGTTATCAATTTCATAAGTTTTTAGATCTGTTCAGTCCAAACTTTGATTACTTTGATTAGTAATGTTTCTAGAAATTCATCACAGCTCCCAAGAAATGCAAGTTAGATCTGTGAGCTATTCTTCCCAACTTCGTAGTCTGTTCCATGATCATTTACTCATTCGCTAATGAATCTTTACTCATCTCAAACACCTGATGTTATAGTCAAATTTTGATAGTTCATATACTCCGTCAAAACATCTCAACTAGCGTAAATGAAGAGGTAGAATTGGAAACAGTTTTTGTTTCTCCAAGTTAATCTAGGTATTAGACGTCAAAAAATTTCAAATGAAAGAACATTGAGTTACAGTTTTGATTGATTGATTGATAGTATTTTAGAATGCTGAATACGAGTCTGAAATCAAAAAGTTCAACAACAAATAAATCTTTTTGCAGAAAACGAAAACAATTACATTGTTACGGTTTCTCTAATTGCTTGTGAAACTAAATATTACATGAAAATTCATTCTATATAAAATTGATCAACTTATCTAACTAAAGGTTTTTCTCCAATCTTCAGTTTAGTTGTGAGGAGCTTAATATTTTTCATACTTTCAGTGTCATCACACTTTTTGATCGATAGCTTTCATTATTATTATGGATATTTTTCGATAGTCCTGCTTGGTCATCTGCGAAAAAATTATACTAGATCCTCCAGATCCTCATTCTCGTTTTTATCACCTCAGAGGTAAAACAACTACGTTGAAGCTGCACGTGTCTAACTGAAAAAATGTTCAACGTGGGTACAATTTTTCTGTTTCAACCACATGGAAAAAACTTTTTTAAGCAAGAATGTTCAGACTTTCACAATTTAAGCAGGATTTTTGTAAGAGCTGGGGATCTTTGCAAAGGCTGACAAAAATTTTGTTTATTATTTGTTGCAGCACAACCATTCAGTGAATATCTACATGAAGCGAAGGTGCTCCATCAGTAGTAAGGTCACAGCTTGAAAAAATGACAAAGTACCTGGAAAAACTTCATCTTTCCAAAGCTTTTAAAAGACATTGGTAGACAGATAGATACCTGTCGAGATGACCAAGATGCACTTATTTCCTGCCAGGACAAGAACAAGAATTCTCTTCAACAGAAAATTGTTCATATTTTACTGCACAATGATGATCGTTCAACTCAATACAATATGGTTGAAACCAGTGGTACTAGGCTGCTGGTTTCAACTGTTCCTAAAGGACAAGTCTGAGTAATAGTCTTCTGGAACCTTTCGACGGCGCTACCACAATAAATAGTTGTTAGGAGAATCACGTTAGATATGCAAAAACGAAATTACATTCTCTTCAATTTCATATATAGAATTAACCTTCACGATAATTTTCTCACAGTGGAACATGTTTAGCATCAAAATGGTTGTTGACAATCTTCAAATTCGTATTCAACAGCAAAAAAGCCATAAATTACTGACAATCAATGTTCCATCAAAACCTCTTTTTTCAAAAAGCCTACTGCCTGGGTCAGGACTAGTTTTTAAACCTTTCCATCTAGGGCACACAGTAAAAAAGCACGGAATATCATTGTTATAAACAGTTAGAAATTACACTTATTTACAAAAAATAAATTAATATTGTAATAAAGTTAGAGTGGTAGGTACACATGGGCAGTCGAGCACACTCGCGCACTAAAAGTCAGGACTAGAGTCCAACAATCTTTTTTCGGGCGTCGGTAAGGGGGGTCGGCATCTGCAACCAGTCCTCGAATGGCGCGCGTAGCACGCCTCCACCGCCCTCTTGCAGCCTCGCAGAGGCCAGTAGAGCCACAAACAGGGTAGGATGCACGAAAGGGCGGCCAGGCAGCTCCACCTGGCCGCTCTGCGGTTCACGCCGCAACCGCATGGATCGTCCGCACAACTTTCGTCACCGTCCGATTCGCTGCAATGGTAGAACAGTCCTTTGACACAACACAAGCACGAGCAGTAGTCAATGACGCTGTCCGCGGACACGAGGCAGGAGTTGTTGCAGACCCACTTCTGGGGCAGCGGCCTCGGCTGCTGGCAGGAGTCGCACCTGCACCTTCCGCAATCGGGGCACATGATGGAGGGCCTCGTGGCACAGACGGGAAGGGGCTCCTTGCTGAAAGTCGTCGTCGCCGTCGGCTGCTTGGTGGTGACGGCGGGAGGAGGTGGGGGCGGCAACGCCAGCCGAGTAGGTCGTTGTAGCGTTCTAGGCGGCTGTGGAGGCGGCGTCGGCGGTGGCGACAGGATCGTCCGGAAGGGCGTCTCCACGTACTCGTTGGTGGCCCGCTCATTTTCGGGCCTTGGAATCGTTAGCGTAACAGGGGGCGCGGATCGCAGCGGTGCCAGGGGGGCCGTGATCGGCGGATTATTCATGATTTGCGCCCGTGGACGGTGAGCGCGCGGCAGGGATGCGGGCCCTCCATGGTTGGCCATGTGGTCGGATGATCAACGCCCGAACCAGGCTGCACCTTGGTCCGTCATCGTCTCCAGCTGAAACAAAAAAAATCCATGTACGACCATTGTTAGATTTTAGTTACAAGTCACTATGTAGAAGTTCAAGAGTTTGAGGAGTCGAGTCAGATGATGTTTCATGTGTGAAAACTACGACCAAATAGTTAATGCTTTGAATTTTGTACCTCAAAAAACCTACAAACTATTATTGATTGAAACTTCAATTAGTATATACTAGTTGCTCAATTGCGCACAAAACGATAATGAGATGACAATATTGTGAATACTAAAACCACGCTTTCAAGCTGAGAAAATATTCTAAGACCATTGCTCGACTTACTGAATTTCTCAAATCATTCATAAATTATTGACTTCATAAGAGAATTCATAATGAGCTTTTCTATAGTACTTTCAAATGATTTAATGGAAATTTAGAACTGTTTTAGTATTTCTAAGAGAAAATATGTTTTTCCAAATTTTAACCAACATTTTCTGGAGCAAAGAAGGTTTTATACGTATTTTTTATTTCCAACTTGTTGTTTTGTCCAATTTGTCACATTTGTTAAATTCTCTTAGGAGTATTTTTCACAATTCCACATTTCTTTCAAGTTATTCATACTCCTTCTATAGTAATGAGTGATTTTTTTGCTGGTGTCTTTTTGGCAACACTGTTTTTGACAGATCACGCATGAATCGTTTCTTGTGTCATTGTCAAACTTGTTCAGTTTGGTCTATAATTTAACCATGAATCGACTTACGAATGAACAACGCTAACAAATTATTGAATTTTATTATCAAAATTCATGCTCGGTGAAGAAAGTGCATCGTGCACTTCTTCCAATTTATGGGCAGTTTCGTCGACCTACTGAGGGAGCTATAAGGAAGCTTGTGACTAAATTTCGAACCCAGTTTACATTATTGGTCATTAAACCACCAACACGTATACTTAGAGTGAGGATCGAAGAAAATGTTGTGGCTGTATCCTCCAGTGTTCGTGATGACCGTAAAATGTCGATTCGCCGCCGTTCACAGCAATTGGGCCTCTGTTACTCCACTACGTGGAGAATTTTGTGAAAGGATTTGAGTGTAAAACCTTATAAGATAGAGCTGGTGCGAGAATTGAAGCCACACGCCTCCCACAACGTCTAACATTTGGTGAATGGGCGTTGGCAAAGTTGGAGAAAGATCCACATTTTTATTGAAAAATTGTGTTCAGCGACGAGGCTCATTTCTGGTTGCATGGATACATTAACAGGCAAAATTGCCGCATCTGGAGTGAAGACCAGCCACAAGCATTGCAAGAGCTACCGATGCATCCCGAAAAAGTCACTGTTTGGTGTAGATTATGGGTCGGTGGCATCATCGGGCCGTACTTCTTCAAAGACGACAATGGCCGGAACGTTACTGTGAATGGCTAGCGCTACCATGTGATGATTGACGACTTTTTGTTGCCCAAAATGGAAGAATTGGACATGCCCGACATGTGGTTTCCACAAGACGGTGCCAAATGCCACACGGCACGTGAAACAATGGCCCAATTAAGAGCCGCCTTCAGTGAACAGTTTATCTCACGTTTGGGGCCCGTCAATTGGCCGCCTAGATCGTATGATTTAACGCCTTTGGATTATTTCTTGTGGGGTCATGTTAAGCCTCATGTCTACAGGGATAAACCAGCAACGACTGACGCTCTGGAAGCCAATATTGAAGCATTTATACGTGAAATACCGATCGATATGTTAGAGATAGTGTGCCAAAATTCGACCTTGCGCATGGGCCATCTAAAGCGGAGCCGCGGACAACATTTGCATGAAATTATCTTCAAACATTAAATCATATTGATCGTTCTATCGATTCCAATAAAAATTTCATCAATTTTTTTAAATTTTTTGTGTTGTTTGGAAAATCAAATCCTATACCTCTTGAAAAAATCACCCGTTAGTAATTGTATTATGGATGACAAACATTATGGCATTTTTTATCATATCCTTAATATTCATATACAATAATCATAAACTGAACAAAGAAAATAATAATATAGTCGATAATTTGTCTTAAACAAAGAGATAGAAGATATAACTGAAACTTATTGTTGAACGAACCTCAGGAATTTGAGTCTATTTTGAACGAAATAGAGAAGTTCAATTATATTTCAGTTAAAGATAACAGGAAGGATTTGAGTATCAGTACCTTGTGAATAAAGGCTGAAATATATGAAGGAATTCGCCTATACTTGATGAAAATCCATAACTAACGTATTCAAAAACGCGTTTTTGTAAAACTGTCTAATGAAAATCTCGTAATAAAGGGTTTTTAGGGGATTCTATGCGTCTTATATGATTGCTTGCTCCCGGTTATGAAAGACTGCCAAGAGACGTTGAAAGAAAACAGTGATTTTTGCTTTTCATAGACGTTTTAATAATATTTGAAAGGTATCAATCAACTAACAAAGCACTTCTGAGAATTATATCCCAACGAAACAAATTTACAACTTTCTCCACTCCTTAGTGAATGAATGGGAATTATATAAAATATTTTCAATTCGCTTATGAATAAAATTTCGTCACGCGCTCATCAGCCCCCACGTTTCCACGCCCATGTACCGAATAATACTCGGAATTCCTTGAATCTTATTAGAGTTTAGGATGTTGCCTACCTACACGGACTACTTAGCCATAAATCAGTGGAAACCGTTGGTATATCAGTCTTTTACGAGGTATATTTCGGCATTCGGTTCGGAATTTATGTTTTTTTTTGTCGCGTTGTTCCATATATTCAACGGATGGGATTTTGAAAAGGAAAACAAACAAAAGTTGTTCGTTACCGGCGCGGAGGTGATAAATCGACTTGTCTCAATAAAAGTAGCAATTTCAGAAATGAGGAGAAACAATTTCGACTATTTTAATGGAAATAACTTGAAGCAATTTGGTTTAGGGAGGTTGAATGCCGAAACAGATGGGGACACTTGTCGTTCAGATGGCATACAGGCACTGAATCGATTTGATACAGTTTTTAATTCCAGCACAAGGATATATTGAACTTTTTGCTTCAAACTTCTGAAATGAGCACTTCAGGTTAGAATTTTATATGTAGAATTGGCATAAACGTTCCAGAATAACATTTTTCGCCCTAACATAACTTAAAGTCAACCTAATATTAAAATCATTGAAATCTCTTTAGTCAATACCATCATATATATTCTATTTGAAACTTATAATACTCGAATTGAGTGTCTTATAATCGTTAGTAACCTCAGGTATTTCTCATCCAACCCAAATGTTGTTCAGTATTCTCTGACTATAAGACTAATCAACCTTTTTCGATTTCTTCATGAGACTTTAATCCAGCGACATCTGTTGAGCTCCCGAATTATTCATTCATAGAGTCGACAAAAAGACTCAGACCCAAAAAAAGAAATATTGACTCAGGTTCTGACCTAAGAAAAGGCGCATATATGACATCCATGTTAATAATAATAATTATTATTATATGATTTATTGATTGACAAGAGTAATAAAGATTAAAATAGAAGATACAAAAACAATGATGAGAGGTGTTGTACTAAAACAACGATGAGAGGTGTAGATCGTTCAGCCTCAGCTGTTTTTCAACTTTGCCTAGTTAGAAGGACACAAACATACATAGACATAGGATTAATTCCTTCATATACCTACGTCTTAGAACTATTAGTGTCTGTAATAGCGAACCTCAATTTCTATAATGATCAGTATTGATACATATTTGATAATTCGAAAAATTCTGCCTATCGAGAGGATTCAAGGTCAAACGATAAGATTCGACTTGAAAAATGTTTAAAACGATTTAAATGTTATGTTTAATCGTACATTGGAAGATAGAGAGAAAATAGCATAGGAAATGAGGCCAGTACTGTAAAATTGATGTACTGATCTCTCACTATTGCAAAGAAAGAAAATTATGTGTCTGTGTAGCAGTATTTTGTAATTTTTTCACTATTATAGCTCTTGAAACTGCAAAACATTTTGAAATGCAGTACTTTTTGTATCATTCTTTGAATATCTACCAAAATAAGGTATCAAACTGTATTCTGTTACAGGTAATTTTCATAGAAAATCGAGTCTCCGGTCTATGTTTGGTATTCTCCTAATTGAAAACCTGTTTCGATTGAATGCTCAATTTATACCATTTACACCATTCTGAAACACTTTAGAAAGCTCATCCAATACCTACGTTGTATGAACTTGTGTTTAATCTTTCTCTTGTTCAATCTCCCTCTTGAAGATGATCACTTAGTGATCAAAACACGTGTCTAGGTGATAAAAATAACGGTTTGGTGTTGGTAAATAAAACTTCAGTAATATACGTTGTATGAAGACAAACAATTGTTAGGACGTCTCATTTTGTCTTCAATCGAGGACCGCCTGCCCGGTACTGACGATGCCCAATAGGCTGAAACAGTTGTCTACCGGTGGCTCTTAAATTGAAATCAATATGGTAGTGATCAAAACAGTACTTATCGATTTATTTTTTGATTTTCGTGGAATTATTTTCCAGCAGCTTGACTGCATTAACCTTTCTAGATTATATATATATATAGCTTGAAAAATACATGAAATTCATTGGGAATGAACATAAAGGCAATGCCTAATCGATACCTGAGCAGATGAATCCGTAATGTTTTCCAATTAAAATGTATATTTATATAACACTCAAAGTAATTGTTATTAATTTGAAGTCTAGCCAAAAATAAATTTTCATCGGTTTAAACTTAATTAAGAATAACAGATAAACGAGGCTATCTTATTTGATGAAAAAAGGAATGAATAAGTGTTTACATATAACCGAGAAAATTGAATAAAAATGTCTACTTAGAAAAAATGTTATATTTCGTTTAAGAAATAATACTGAGCGGTTTCATATATTTTCTTAACTCTAGTTACTTTCTGGATCAGGCAAAAGTTGAATCAGGTAAAAGTGAAATCGCTTCGAAGGCCGATAGTTATATTTTTCTCATGCAAAAAATACAAAAATTCAAAGTGGTACAATTTGTCATAGATTCTTGG